ACAGAGAGCTCTGCCTTCTCACACACATTGAGTCTGCATAATCCTTGGGGACTGAGCTACATGTTCCCAAAGGGTGTTAGTGTTTTGCCATTCCTTGAGCACATGCCTTTCTTTCCCCATACCAGTCACCACTTAGCAACAGCTTGTCAAGCCAATTCCAAATCTGAAAACAGTGATTTCTCCAAGTCTTCTTCTATTGCTTTTTTAATGGCTGACATTTCACTTCCTCAAGCAGAAGGGACACTCCCTTTCTTTCATTTGTTTCTTCACTACTGAAATTGCTGTAAATCATACACACACCACCTTGTTTAAAGTAAGTCAATCTAAAGTATGAAGTATTTGCCAATTACCTTTCCTTGCTCATTCATGTTCATACTTAATACATCGAATTTTCTACTGTTTTAGTAGTGAACATACATACTCATACACTTATATTTGCAATCCATACATTATTGGTGCAAAACCCTTTTGTCCTCCAATTCATTAAACCTAGGATCTTCTGTGCTAACTGTGGGCTTGCTATATGTCTACTCTGAGCTCCTTCAGGTAGTGTGTATCTTTTTGGGGAAAGCACAGTCTGCACCACAACTTGATCCTTCATTGCCACATTCTCCCTGTGCCCTATGATCCTCACTAGAGATGAATATCCTCGCTCATGTGGTGTGACAGCTTCTTCTGGGAGCCTCAGAGTTTTTGATTTGTCTGTCACTACCCACAATTCCTCCCATTCTTTTGCATCAGGCCTGCCCATATGGGTTAATAGAAGAGAACTGTAGTAGTAGAGAGCTAGCCTGGTTAGTAGAAGAGAACTAGTCTATATCTTGATGCAAAGAAGCACAGAAAGAGGAAAGATATGCATTCTCCAGGTAACTTGGTTACCTGCATTGAAGTGGTCTAGACTGTACCAACTATCTGCACTTACATCCCAAGGGTTGAGGCTCAATTCTGCAGTGACAAATCCAACCACACCTTGCTCTTCCTGGAATGCGCTTTTCAAAGACCAAGTGACTTCTCTAGCAAGCGGAATGATCCAATCCACAATCTTGCTTCTATCACCCTGAAGCTAAGTATGCACTTCAAAGCCGTCTGGACTCACTCCATCACAGATGGTGAACATAGGCTTTTTGCAGCACAGGCACACTACTCAGCACTACTTCTGTTCTTCCACTCTGATTTTCAATTTCCAGC